ATTCACCCCCTCTTGGCCGATTCCGTCGATCGATGAACTCAACATAAGTTGATTTTAATGTATACGTTTTAATATATATGTTAATGATAAAATCATATGTATGGATAAATTTAATTTCAATTTAAGTATTGTGAACTATAATTGGAATATAACTTTTAATTTCGAATACAATTGGAATATTAAGTTGAAATTTAATGTTAAATTTCGAATACTATAATTTATATTTTAAATTTAAATTTGAATAATATTATTTTTATTTTTATTTTAAATTTTGAATAATATAATTTGTATTTTAAAAACATTTATCAAACATTTAATGTTAAATGTGAATAAAAAATAACATTAAAAAATATGTATGTAACAACCATGAAACATTTAAATAACATAACCAAATTACATAAAATTCTGAAATATAATTATTTAAATAACATTAAATATAACTGGATCACCGATGTCGTCTTCTCGAATGAGTTCCACATGGCGGTGGTTGTCTATTTCGTGGAGGATTTCTTCGTGGAACTTGTTCTTCAGTCTCCTCATCTTCACTATCATTATCAGCAACATTTTCTTCATTTGGTGTAGATGACGCTGAAGGGGCTGAAGGGCCTGTATAAAATAACGACCCTGGAGGAGTGCTAGTAACAATCCCACCGCTCCCCGGGAACTGTGAAAACTGTGGAAACATTGGCATCGATGTATGTGATCCAGATGGAGATTGAGGTGTCTGCGGAGAAGCACCACCAGCCAAATAAGATGCATATGAACCATATGCTGGATCATTAAACATAGTCGTATATGCACCTCCATATGGTATAAAACCCTGCGGGCTAGGCATGTAACCTGGCGGGCTAGGAATGTAACCCTGCGGGCTCGGAATGTAACCCTGCGGGCTCGAAATGTAACCCTGCGGAGATGGCATATAAACTGATGGGCTTGGCATATGAAGTGGAGGGCTAGGCATGTACCCCTGCGGCATCGACGAATAAGGATGTTGTGGTGGGACTGATGCAGAACCGGTAGCGCCTTCTCTCCGTCCACGCGTTGGGGGACGATGATATTGAGACGGTTGACGTCTTTCTCGGCGCCTAGGAATGTTAACCCCTCGTGCTTCCGCCGAAAGTAGAAACGGCTTCCCATTTTCATTAAACCAGTCCATATAGTTATCCGTAACCATATGACCAGTTTCAGCGTAATATTGTCGAGGGGCCACCAGTGTATATCGGTTCTCCCAAAGCGCAATCCAATCTCTGTGTCTCACCACCCAGTTAACATCTTTCTTCCCTCGTCTATCTATGTTATGCACGTCGTCTAAATTCCTAGGAGCTCCAGGAATATATTGCGTACAACCATACTGACGGAGCACGCGATCAACTGGATGCCACTCAATAATAGCATAACATATAAGAGGTATAACCGATATCCATACCTCTAATGACCCACTAAGGTGGGGTGGGATACAAGCTTTCACTTCATCTCTCGCATAAGGTATCCACTAAAACTGAAATATAAATATACAATTCAAATAAATAAAATATTCTAATTATATCTAACATTTTAAATTAAAATATTAATAATTAAACAAATTTAAAAACATACCTCAGACCCAGCTTTCGTATCAATAAGTAAACGAATTTCCTCTAACCAGTAGGTATACTTTTATGGTCCTTTCTTTTCATCGACCACCTATGAAATATAATATAAACTAAATATCACCCTATTTAATTGAAAATATTTAAATCAAAATTTAGTTCGAAAATTACCTCAACAATAAGGGGAATACGTATGGTTCATTCACGATCGAGCATAAGAAAGGCATGCGGAACCATGCCCATGATTGTAGAAGCAGAAGACATCCACCGATAGCAGTTTTCTTATAATTCGTCGCCCGACACATTTCTCTAAAGAGAAATGCCAAAACTGCAGCACCCCAACTATTCTTCCAGCTTCATCAAAATCGATCAGATGCCGCAACCACATACAATGCACCTGGTTGCGAGATTTGTCGGGCATCAATATTCCTCCAATTATTCGTAGAATATATGCCCGAGCACATGCCTTTGCTTGATCCTCTGAAGCATTTTCATTTAAAACCTCAAAATTAGCTTTCAACCAAGATAAAGCTATTCTACCTCCATTAAACTCTGGCGGAGCAGCTCCAAGATAATCAATGCACATTGATTGCCAATCACCATCCGCCATACCACACATCATATTTCCGTCGACGGGAAGCCCCATATGCATAGAGACATCCTCCAATGTAATTGTCGCCTCTCCACATGAAAGGTGAAAAGTGTGTGTCTCGAGCCTCCACCTCTCAATCAGTGCAGAAATTAGGACAGGTTCGAGTTTGCAACCGCCTATAATTGTTGCAATATACCAGAACCCGGCAGAAGCCAAATATGGAAAAATACGTTCCGGTGTCGGTATACGTGAATTTTTAATAAAAGTCTCTAAAATACGATCAGCATCCTAAATAATATACATTATAAAAATAAAAATTAATATAAATTCATAATAACTTTAAAATAAAAATAAATTTAAATATTAACATTAATTATAAAAAATATTACCATATCGCTAAAATGTCTGGAGATATGATCAATATCCAATCGCAACAGCATTTCGTTTTCCATCATAATGTAGACAAAACAATATAATTAGAAAAAAAATTAATAATTCTAAATAAATAATAATTATATAAATTATTTTAATAAAAATATAATATTACATAATATATTAATATAAAAAATAATAACTATTTAAAAAAATACTAACATAAAAATAAATTTCTTACCACTAATAACAAATTTAAAACTCAAATAGTTGGAGAATTTGAGTTATATAAGAGAGGAGAAGATGATTTTGGTGTGAAGAATGAGGGAGGGTTGAGGGGGTTTATATAGGGGAGGAGGAGGGGTAGTTAGGAAAAACGGATGGGGGCATTTATGACATTTAATGGAAGGCGCGTCCCCGGGGATGCGCTTTCCACACGTGTCTGCTGAGTTGGCAAAGCGCATCCCCGGGGACGCGCCTTCCACACGTGGCATCCAACTCAGCGAAAACACAGGTAAAGCGCGTCCCCGGGGACGCGCCTTTGCCAACTCAACAGAAAGGGTGCTACTTCTGGAAATATTGGTCAAACGGTGTCAGAAAGGGAAAATTTAAAAAAAAGGGTGTCAGTTATGTCAAATAGCCTGAAGCCAACTCAACTTCACTTACTTCTCTCCCTCCTCATAGAGACAGAGTACATCAACACCAACTAATGGTCAATTTCTCACCGATTATGACACTCCATCCAAATGAGAAGAGGTGAACTGCCTATAACATGGTAACCTATTTAGTCTCATCAAAAAATTGAAATTTAAAAAGGAAATACTAATTATGCATGAACACCTTTTTTTTAATTGCAAACCACAGAAAACATCAAAGAATATTATCACGATGGAGTGTATATATCAGCATCATACATTAAAATTAGCCTTCTTTCACTGGTGCCTGAAAGGGAAAAGTAGGAACAAGGCATAACTGGGATTTTTCTCTACCCCACACTGGTCATATTTCCTTGAAACCATGTGTGGGCATGTTTGAGCAGCAAACCATAGAAAAAGATTCGTAAAATTTTACTAACTATAGTGACATTGCCACTACTAGTGGCTCCAGGGGCCAACTTGGTGGGACAGGGAAAGTGCGGGCGAGAAGATTCACTGATTCAGGCATTTTCTGCTTTATTCACGCAGGCATAATATACCTGGATGACTGATCTTTGCATGCTTGTCACGTCTGGAAAAAAAACTCATCTCCACTTCAAGGTCTACACTTTGTATTTGCTCCTCTTATCAGTTGAGTGGTCCCTGGCCTGGCCAGGCCTTTTGCTTTCAACAACCAGCAAATACTTTGAACCAATCTAATTTGTAAAGTAGTGAATACTGAAGAGTTTAGAGGATTTGGATTGGATTTTTGTTTTCTTTGATGTCAGTGAGACCACCATACATATGATGTTCTCTCTCTCTCATGGATTTGAAAGTCGTGAAGCAAAGTGGTTCACATGGCGTGGCCTCTCAGTGCCCACCAAATATGTTCATTAGTTCCATTTTAGTAGAGGGTTGCTATTTGCATGGCAAGTGGATCAAGACAAAAAAGGAAAAACTAGGTATATTTGTATGAGTTTCTTGTCCCTTTTTTGTTCTTATTCATGGAGTTCTTATATACATATTTATGGCAGCACACGTTCACATGTTCACTTGAAGATCAGTATATGAATATGGATTGATAAGACTGAGAGATAAAGGATCTTTTTTGCAGTGAAAAACCTGTTATCCAATCTCAAACTATTGTAATTAATGCCATCATGGTTGGTTTCTCAACCTTCTAATTTTTAAAGTAGTGGGACGAATTGCCTATTGCAAATAAAAAAATCTAAAATATACTATAATTTAAAATTTTCAAGGGAAGCGACTGCCCTAACCGCCCCTTGATCCATCCATGTTGACAACACAACATGATCAGGTTTCTTAATTAAAAGTTTAGCTATGAGATTAGGCTTTGTCTTATTAATAAGCTAAATCAAGTGGCCAACTTTTCCCCTTCCTTCACATGGGTCACTATATTAACAACTATGATTCTAAAGCCAAGTGTGGGAGTATATGTAGTGTAGATTACTTAATCTAGGTGGGTTGGTTACCATCTGTTTAAATATTTTTGTCATGTTAATGATAAAGACAAGTATGGAGCTTTAACTTTCTTGCAAACCAAACAAGAGAACCTAATCCACCACTTTCGATTTGTGGAATTGGTGGTGGAGAACTCATGGCCAAAAGAGGAAGAAATGAAAATTATCTTTCTATGGATCAAATGCTACCATGGAAAAGAAAATAAAAAGTTAACATACTTCACCAAATTAAGAATTTTTCAATTTTGACCGACATGAAACCAGTTAAATTAATGAACAATTATGAATGATATTTTATGAGAAAAATAATCCAAGTTAATGATACAACATTGACTAAACACTTGGAGTTTGCACTTCTAGTAATGGCAATCAACCATAGAAGAAACCGGAAAGAGCAGTAGCTTTTCCTGCTTGGAAACTAATGGAAGTTTGGTTTCCCTTTGATGATCATCTTCTGGTGCTGGAAGGTTAAGATCTAATTGCAGAACAGTTCTTGGTTTCTTGGACTTATCTTCTGATTCAGATCTCACAATCCTTGTTCCAACACTCGTCGTCGTCGTTGTTGTCGGAGTCGGAATTGGAACATTATTTAATGACCTATGCCTCCTCATATGGCCCCCAAGAGCTTGTCCGGATGAGAACTCGGCTCCACAGATCGAACACTCGTGAACTTTGGGTTTGATGCTATCGCCTAAAACAGGCTTATTCGTTATCTGAAGTGAAAGTGTTGTATTCATGTTATTGAATGGCTGATGAACATCCTCTTTCACAAACATCAACCCTTTATTGTCCTCTTCATCGTTAACAACTTTGGGTTTCTTGTGGCTTGCCCTATGTCCACCAAGCGCCTGGAACGAAGGGAAACACCGGTTACACGTCTTGCACTGGTGAACATACACCCCGGTCATTGTCTTGCTCGTCGTCGCCAAAGAAACCAGTTGGGGTGTTGATTTTCTTGTTTGACCTCGAGCCAAAAGTATCAAACAATTAGCCATGTCTTCGTCTTCCTCAGTGCTTTCTGCAAACGCAACAGATGTTACCGGAGATGCAAACCCTCTCGAATCATCACTGTTCCTCCCACTCTCCCCTCCACTAGAAGTCGTCACCGTTGTCGTCGGGCTCGAAGCCATCGCCAAACTCAGAGGAGACAGCTGCCTCGAGCGCTTACTATGTTTCCCTTTGTTAATCTGCAACTGATCGTTACAAACAACAGTTTCCTCTTGACTCTCCATCATCATCATAATCATCTCCAATTCAACTCCAATACGGGGTGATGAAAACAAGAGGAAATATCAGATAAGAGAAGGAAAGCACTCCTGTAAACAAATATATTATGTTCCCCAACCCAGAAAGCTACAAATCATATATAAACAAATATTATATATAGAGAGAAGAAAGGAGGAAAGAGAAGATGCAATGAGAAGGCGAGGAAAGGAGTGAGATTCGGTTGGCTTTGAAGCAAACCCATTACTTTTTCCCAACGATTCCTACTTGAAGAATTGGTTTGCAAGACTGGAACCACATAATTTGCGCTTCTCCACCTTTATTTTGCCTTTTCCTTGCTTGGACCAAACTTATATTTCTCTGAACTCTTTTTATCTCTTCATAGTTTTAGTAATCTGTTTTTTTAACACTGCATACACACTTTATTTAGAGGTTGCTAAGATCTGCCCAAAGTTTACATTTTTGAATGGTTGTTGTCACTTGTTGGGAATTAATAAACCTCTCCTTTAACTAAATTTTACTAATAATACTCATCAATTTGTTAGTTAATTATTTAATAATATTATCTTCGTAAGCAAATCGAATACAATCATGCTAATAGGAGATAGAAGCGTGATTTTATGTTAGATTGTGAACTTATAAAATTTTAGGGGATGAATTAAAATTTCAGGGAGCGGATCTAATGGGTATGATCACCTCTTCAGATATGCTAGAGTTTCAAGAAACAACTCAAGACCTTGCGTTCCCAGCGATTCGATCATTCCTTCTCCGTTTTTCATCATCTATCTCTTCTTCATCAGTGTTCAAAGGTTGCCTCGGGTTTCTGATGGATTGGAAAAAACTATTTTCGTGCTTTGTTGGGAATCAGCTTCAGTATTTTCCTCCTAATTTGCACGATGGAACGCCGACCGTTCACCCACCTCCTGAAGTTTTCGAAGATGGAATTTCTAAATGGAGACTCTCACTAGTTGGACACTTCCTCGGAGCAACACCTAAATGTTCTGCGTTGCAACAGATTATTGAAAATCTGTGGAAAAAAACCCTTACAGGGTGCTTCGGTGCAGATCAATTATGCAGGTAATAACCTTTACCTTTTCTCTTTTAATTCAGAGAAAGCTAGGGATTGGGTTATGGAGAATTGACCTTGGCATATTTTCAACAAACCCTTGATTCTTAGGAAATGGGAGCCAAACATGTCTAAGTTAGATTTTGATCTTTCTAGAATTCCTTTATGGGTACATTTATATAATGTCCCTCTTGAATTGTTCTCAAATGAAGGTCTGAGCTACATAGCTAGCACTGTTGGATTTCCTCTTTTTATGGATTCTGTCACAGCATCCAAAACTAGGCTTGAATTCGCTAAAGTCTGTATAGAGATTGGGGTAAATGATTATATTCCTAGGTATATTGATGTTATACTAAACAATGGCCAAACATCTTTAATTATTGTTGAAGTGACGTGGATTCTTTCTTGTTGTAAGAAATGTAACGTGTTTGGTCACAGTACAAAAGGATGCAATCAATTCCCTAGCTCTTCTCAAGCTCTATCACTTGTCTTGAGGAAAAAAGAATATGCCATTTCTTCCTATCTTTCTCCAAAGTTAATAGTGCTGATGATAATCAAATTTTAAATTCTTCTAATCATGATATATCTTTCGTTATTCCCTGTAAGGATAATGAAGAAGGTATTAAATTAGGCTCTGACTCGCACATTCAAGTTATTAATTTGGTCGATTCTGGTATTCATAATCTTCCCAATGATTCTTCTCTCACTGTTAAAGATCCAGAAACTCCTCTTGAACTTAGAGAAAAAGGTATAATTAAGTATCCTGAGTTTGACAAGAAAATTGATTCCTCTTCTAATCCTACAACGCAAGCTAAGAGGGGCAGGATAGACCATCTAAAGTAAAAAAGCCTTTACAGGATCTTCCAATAGATTTGAATTACTTAGCTCGATTGATAACCAAGTTAAAAAATCTAGAGCTGCTGCTTCTGGGTTGCTGAGGTGATTAAAGATCTCAAATTAAAGAAAAAGGCTCACATAGAAAAACACAAAGTATCTACAATATATAGTAAGGGAGGAGACATGGGCTCCTCGTCACATGGGAAATGATTCTAGCTTTTGGAATGTAAGAGGGTTAAACAACTCTCTTAAACAAGGTAATGTCCTTAAAAGGGCTGACAAAAATAATGTTGCAATACTCTGTTTGATGGAAATTCGATTGAAAGTGGATAAATCTACTAATATTCTTGCTACTTCCTTTGAAAATTGGAATTGTATTACCAACTACGATTTTGCTGAGAATTGAAGAATTTGGTTACTGTGGAGAAAAGATTTCGATCTCTCTTTATGCTATGTTTCGGCTCAAACCATCACTGTTAAAGGAATGTTTAAGGAACATCCTTTCATTATTACTGCAATCTATGGTGGTAATAATGGAATTTTTAGAAGACAGCTATGGCATGATCTTAGGCATATTGAATCCAATTTTAGTAACCTCACATAGATCTTGGGAGGTGATTTCAATGTGATTCTGCACAATTACGAGAGCTCAGACTGTGATCTAATGGGTATTGATCAACTCTTCAGATATGCTAGAGTTTCAAGAAAAAACTCAAGACCTCCAATTACAAGATCATCCTTATTTTGGTCCTACCTTTTCATGGAGTAACAAGCAAAGTGAAAACTACTTGGCTCAGAAATTAGATAGAGTTTTAATCAACCCTTCATGGTTTGAATCTTTCCCCCATTCTGATAGGGAAGCGGTGGCGGATTGATGAACGTTGCTCTTGTTGAAGAATCAAACCTAGAAAGATCTAGACTCGATGAAGAACAAAGGTGATGAATATGGGGAGATGGCGGCAGTTGCTAGGATTGTTTAGGGTTTCTTTTATGTGATGGAATCAAGACAACACGATTAGAATAAAATAAACAAAAGATAAATAAATGAAAGATGAAATAAGATAATAAAGAAATCAAAAGATCTCCCTTATGAAGGTGAACGGTAAAGATGATTGATGGTGTGGATGGATTTGTGGAAAAATAGATGGATAAGTGTTCTATCGAGCCCTCCTAGTCGCAATGAAAAGGAAAACACGATAAATGGCTCTAACCAACCCTCCTAGTCGCGATGAAAAGGCAAATTGGAGTGTGAAGATTAATCTCCCTCACAAGAACTTGAAAGAACTCCAGGAGAAGAAGCTTCGAAGGCACAAGGCAATCAGCACTTGCAAAAACGAACTCTCGTTGTATTATTAATCAAAGAAATCTTCAATTACAAAGTTTAATGAAGTCTCCTTTATATAGGGGCTGAATTCTAAAGGTCCTAAATAACTAATGAATAAAATAATAATAAACTAAACATATCTTAACTCTAATTCCTAATAAAATAATAATAACTAAAGATAATACTTTTAACCCGACCTTAATTCATAATAAAATAATAAATCTAATCCTAAAAGATAATGCATCATCCTATATTAAGTTATATTACAAATAATCAATAAAAATATTGAAAATTCGTAATATTTACAAAATCCGTATTAATCCCGTATAGGATTTTCTGCATGCACCGTCTTCAATAAAATAGCCATATATTGAGTTACCAATATTGGATTGATGCGATTCAAGAACCGTTGGAAAGATAAGAGACAGAAGGTCGTATCTCCAGAAGACATCTTGACTAAATAAGATCAGGATCCCATTCAAAAGTCGTCGTAAGTCTGTTTCTATTCTGATCTTCTTTTCCAATGCTTGGACGAGTGGATCATTTGGAAGAGTTATTACTTCTTCCTTTGATGTGAGCCTTGTGATGCATGTATCATCCTCCCTTTCTTCAAAAAGATTCGACCTCGAATCTAAAACATTAAAGGGAGCAACATTAGAACAGTTTAATGATTCATTCACATTATACTTACCGAATAGATATGCTTTGAATCTTCGAGACTTTGTTCTTCTAATAGGTTCGAGTAGAAACATTAGTCCAAAGAAGCATGTATTATGGACTCTGGTGCATGTATCACATTCTTATGTAGAATTCATGGCTCCGGGTCCTTCTGATCACTGCATGGCTTTGGTGAACTTAAGTAAGGAGGTCCATGCTAATAGACCCAAACCTTTCAAAGTTTTTAATTGTTGGACACTCCACCCAAAATTTCTTGAAACTGTGAGTTACTCTGGAATTTGGAGACTGAAGGCAACCCAATGAAGATCTTATTCACAAAGCTTAAACGTCTCAAAACTAGTCTTAAAAATCTCAACAAGGACTGTTTTAGTAACATTTCTGCTTGAGTCATTCAAAATAGAGTTGAACTTGAATTGCAACAACTTCTTACCTTAAAAGGTGATGGTCCCTTGGAGAAAGAACTTGAACTGCAGAGAGAATTCAACTAGTTAGAAGTAGTTGAATCGATGTTTTTAAAACAAAAAGCTAAAGTACATTGGATTAAAGAAGGTGATAGATGTACAAATTTTTTTCATTCAATCATTGCTACTAAGAACAAAAGACAGACTATAAGAGTCCTGGTCAACAATAAGGGGGATAGACTTGATTTTTTTGAAGATATGTCAGTGGAAATTATCGATTACTTCAAATATTTATTAGGCTCTCAAGATCCTAATACCAAAGTATGCCTTTCTTCTCTCCTTAAAGATTTGGCCACCCAATTTCCTCCTTGGAAGACAAAGAAATGCTTGCTAAAGAAGTTACCAATGAGGAGATAAAGAAGCCATCTTCAATCAAGGCAATGACAAGGCTCCAGGCCCCGATGGGTAATCCTCCTTATTCTTCAAAAAAACTTGGTTGGTGGTTGGTAATGATGTTCTTAAGGCTGTCAAATACTTCTTCCATGAATATTTTATTTACCCAGCTTTTAACTCGACCACTATTGCGTTAATTCCTAAAATTCCAAACCCAAGCAAAGTTTCTGATTTCCATCCTATATCATGATGTTCAGTGATTTACAAAGCAATTACTAAGATCCTTGTAAATAGGATAACTCCTTTGCTTCCAGGGATTATAGCTCCAAATCAATCTGCATTTGTCAAGGGAACAAGTTTAGTTGACAATACCCTTCTTGCTCAAGAGATTGTCAAAGGGTATGGGAGGAAATCTATTTTACCAAGGTGTGCTTTGAAAATTGATCTTCAAAAAGCTTTTGACTCCATAAATTGGATTTCATTTCGGCAGTTCTTAAAGCTCTGGAAATTCCAACTAAAGTCATTGACTGGATTACTGCTTGCTATTTGAATGCTCGATACTCAATTGCCTTCAATGGAAGCTTGATTGGTTATTTCAAGGGTGCTAAGGGGATAAGACAAGGAGATCCACTTCCCCTATTTTATTTGTTCTGATTATGAATGTTCTGTCCAA